CCTCCGCCTCCCCTCCTCCCCCTCCCTGCCCTCGCTCCCTCCCCGACGGGGGGCAGGCCGACATCTGCCCCCGCTGTCGGCTCTGGGGCCAACGGGACCACCTCGCGGCTGTCTGAGTTCGCCGGGTCCGCCGGGATGCGGCGGTCCACGTTGCGCGTCTCGACGGCGATCACGCCTGGAGGGAAAGGTGGAGGAATGTGTCTCACTGGACATTGCCCAACAGATGCAAATGTGCAGAGAGGAAGGAGGGAAGGGAGAGGGATGGAGAGAGGGAGGGAAGAGAGGGCAAGGTTGGTGATGATGGTGGTGATGGTGATGGTGGGTAGGAGGAGAAGGAGGAGGTTTGAGGAAGGAGGGGAGGCACATAACTAGTGAGATCCCATGGGGTTCAATTACCTGCGACCTGCTGGATCATGGCACAGGCGGCGTCAGAAAACGATAAGCGGGTCGCTAAACGCCCGCCGTGGGGGCTTGTCTGCCCCGCAAAAAGCCTCGGCGAGCGGACAATGATCCACGGTATCTTCGAGCCTCCCCCACTTGGGTTGCAAGCCCTTGAGCAATCTATGCAGCTTGTGCTGCGCAAGCTCGCCTCTTTCCCATCGGAAACGCACTGACCCAGGTCAATCCAAACGCGAGCCAGTCAGGCCGTGCAAGATCCTGCAGGATCCTGCGAGATCCTGCACCTAAGCCTGGGTCAAAGCAGCCCTGGCTCTGCAGGATCCTGCAAGATCCGCCACCCTGGCCGACCGCCGTTGGCATTGACCCCCGTCCCTTGAGCTCAGCCGCGAGCGAGGGGGGTAAGTGAGAAGGAGAAGACCTCCTCCGAAGGTTCACAAGTCCCCAGGCCTTCTGAGAAGTCTTCTAGACCTTCCCCGAAGACAGAGGAAACCTCTCAGAAGGCGCGAGGGCTTCTGAGAAGCCCCGCCGCCTTCTGAGAAGCCCTCCTCCTTCGCCGCCTCCTCCTCCTCCTCCTCCTCCTCCTCCTCCTTCTCATTCCCCCCCCGTCGCTCGCCGCCGAGGAGCCCCGACCCGGCCCGTGCGCTGAATGTGGGCACGCCTCCCCGAGACCCGTGGGGCTCGCCGCTGGCCATGTGCTGCCCAGGAGGCCCTGCGAGAAACAGGAGCATACCTCGTCCACCTCGGCCCCAGGGTTCGGTCGGGCATGCCCTCCTACAGGCGGACTTTATGACCAAGTTAAACACACCAATAATCCATACATACAAACCTAGTATATATATATATATATATATATTATATATATATTGTATATGCGTAAAAGTCTACACATGTCTTTACATAGTATTTATGCTTGTACATCTATACATACAGGTGAATATATATATATATATATAGAGATATAGGTGTGTGTACTGAGAACTCTTCAAAAGCAGTCAGATAATCGTCCCCAGACAATGTTTTGACTGTGCTTGAATATTCCTCCTGTAGAGGCGCACGCCCGACTCCAGCCCAGGGCCGCGGGGCGAGTGCACGCCACTCCCTTCGGCGGAGAGCCCCGGGGGGGAAGTGAGAAGGGGCGGGCCTTCTGCAAGGCTCGGGGCCCCCCCGGCCGGCCTTCTGAGACGAGACGTTTCCCAAGCCCTCCCCGAGGACGCAGAAAACATCCCAGAAGCGTGCGCGGCAGCGGATTGATTTCACGCGCTGGAGAGTCGGGGGGGCGCCCTCCACGCGACAAGTTTTTCAGTTCACTCTTGAGGTGCGAAAATGGGGGGCCTGGCTCGGGGAGGGGGAAGCATCGACCTGGAATAGGCCATACATCGCCGTTAGATCGGCGATGGGACCCCCATAGCAAATCCGCATGCTCCTGGGCGAGATGGGACCTGACAGGCGATGAATCAGACGATTGGGGGTCGATGCGTCCCCCCCTTGGCCTATACCCCCCCCGACGTCGCCCCCGAAGTTCGCTTGAGAGGGGCCCTGGCTGCGCGGGTACTGCCACCGAGACACGCCCGACACGTGCCAATGCCCGGGGCCAACGCGGCGGGCGCCCGCCCCGAACAGTAATGACTTCCGGTTCGCCTCCGCTCTGGGCGTGGCAGGACGAGGAGGAGGAGGAGGAGGACGACGACGACGAGTACTCCGAGCGTTATTCATCTGCTCTCGATATTCGCCTGCTGTCGGCGGTGTTCGTCTGTTCTCCGCGGCATTCGTGTGTTTTCGGCGGGTTTGTCCAGCCTCGGGATGCTTTCCAACAACTGCGCTTCGCCGAAAGCGTTCTGGTGGTGCCCGGATCGTGTCCGAAAACCAGTGGGGATGGGAGATAGGCTGACGGGGGGGCATCGAGCCGCATGCGCCCATTGATCGCGAATTGGGGCCCGGTTGCCCCTAGAGGCGAACACCAAAGGCAGCAGCCCAAATGCATTGCTGAACGCTCGCAAGGGCACCCTTCAAAGGCGACGAAGCGCATCGTGCAACTTGACTGCTAGGTAGCCTGGAGCTTCGTCCGCAGGGCCCTTAAGCCGAACCCTCCACTCCACCTCACTGAGAGGACCCTCTGGCACATCCTAATGGAACCCATATGGACCAGGTTGTAAGGAGGGGGGGCGCAAGCAGCTGAACGCCGAACGTTGTCGCAACTACATGCTTACGGCAGCCTGCACTGCTCTCCGTAGGTTCACTTAAAAGGAAGAGGAGGAGGAGGAAGAGGAGGAAGAGGAGGAGGAGGAGGGGGAGGAAGAACAAAATGAATAGGAGGGCTAGGAGGAATAGGAGAAGGAGGAGGATGAGGAGGAAGGAGATGACGACGACGAGGGAGGAGGGACGAGGAGCGGAACCACGAGGAGGCGGGAGGAGGCTGGGGAAGTGCGCAGCCACAAAAGGAAGCGCCCGGGCCACAAATCCTCTCGCCACGGGCGACGCAGGGCCACGACCCGGGCCTCCAGCGGCCGCCGGGGACGACCTGGAGCGTTTTCGGCGAGGCGCAGCTGCGTGGGAGCATCCCGAGGCGAGCAACGCCTCCGAGAGCCGACGAGAACGCCCGAAAGCTCACGGGAACGATGCCTCGAGAGGGAGGAGGAGGAGGAGGAGGAGGAGGAGGAAGAGAAGGATGGACGGACGGACCGGCGTTCACAGGTCTGCGTGGGACACGCCGCGCGTCCACTCCTCGCTCTGGAAACGGTAGGATGCGCCAGGTGAGATACGTTTCAAGATTCGCGTGCCTGGTAGGACTCAGTGGTGAGAGCCACGTCTGTCCATGATAGCCCCTGTTGGTTGAAATAATTGAAGACCTCTGTCTCCCACCTCCACGCCCGGAAACGACGTGGATGCCCTTGCCATCCGGAGTGCTTCGCCGCAAAGTCGCGCACGTGGTAGACCGACCTCCAACTCAAGACCTTGTAGGTGGCCCGCTGGATGTCCGACGCGCCCTGTCTGACCAGCTTGCCTGCCCATTCGAACTGTGTCCGGCGCCAAAACGTCACCCACGGTTCAACCTGATACCGCCCCATCGTTCTGGATACAAGATGTTCACTTCCTTCGCAATATTCGCCAACTTCTTCGCCGGGCAACTTCCCAATGCGCAAGAGGGTTCTGATCATACGCCGTTGCACTCCCGAAATATGCCGCTCCTGGTGGACAAGTCGATTCCGAGCACCAGAGTCCCAGAGTAAAGTCGCCTTGGCGGTCATGTCGAAAAATTGAAGCTTTCGCCTCAAAAGGGCCTCGCTTGTGAGTGAAGAGGCCACGGTATTTGCTGAAGCACGCCCAAGCTTTGGCCACGCGGTGGCCGAGCACTTCTCGAACGAGATGTCCATGGTAAAGCTGGCACCTAGCATCTGAAAGCCCTCGCTCCTCCCAGCGCGCGGCACGACCTCGCCGTCAATGGTGATATGCATGGGGATGTCGTCTGAAGCCGTTGTGCACCACGTGCAATCTGCCACTGGCACCGCCCACCCATATATTCGGAGGCTTGCCGAAAAAGCCCGCGCCATCTTCTCCATCATGTCGCAGCACGTGCCCAAGAGCCAGGAGTTGTCAGCAAAACACAACACCCCGTAATACTCAACATCAATACATACTCCCATTGCTTCTTCGCGCACAGTTTGTTGAAACCCTCGATGTCGACATCTAGAACTACATTGCAAAACTTGGGAGCATCGGGTCCGCCTTGGCAGTGGGACCGACCTCGCAAAATCGTATCGCTGCGAATGTCCCTGGCCACCACCCTCGACTTCAACCTGCGGATATCCCGGAAAATGGCTGCAACCGTGACCTTTTTTGTTCATTTGTTTCACAAGCCGTTTCGCGCCGATGAGATGGTTGACGGTGTCGGAGGCCTTGAAAAGGTCGCCGTCGAATATGTAGAGGGCAAACAATAAATAGGTCGCTCCATTCGACGTGTTCCTCGGCGAAGTTGCCAAGCATGAAACTGATATCCAAAGCCTGGCGCCCTGGGCGGAAAGCATATTGAAATTGGCTGAGGTTGTCAAGAATGCCACCTTCAAACTCCATCAAACAAGCAAGGTACACCTTCATCATCACAGGGATTATGGTGATCGGCCGCAGCTTCGAAGGATACGTGGGGTCGACTTTTTCCAGGATGCACTGCGCGACCGCACGGAGGAGGAGCAGAAAAAGAAAGAGGATGGGTGGACTTTCTTCATGGAGGAGCAAGAGGAGAAGGATGATAATGAGGAGGAGGAGGACGAGGAAGAGGAGGAGGGGGAAGAGGAGGAGGAGAAGGAGGAGGAAGTCAAGTGTAAACCCAAAAGTCATCAACGATGTTGGAATGAACCTTCCCCCCAAGCTCCATCTTCATAAGTCCCTACAACGGTTCATTTCTATTGAGGGAACTGCCTCGCTGGAAGGCAACAGTTTGAAGATCCTGAAGCATGCCAAAACATTGTGATCGGGATTTCAACGCCGCGTATCAATCTGACTGCTGGGTTCTGGCGATCCTGAATCGCGCCATAACGCTATTATGAAAATATTTCAACACCGGAATCAACATAACTGTTGCACCCGCATAATCCGGAATCCTTCCCAGACACCATTTATGGTACGCAGATCATGGGAATCCGTGAAACATTTGCAAAACTTGACAACGACTGCGATCCACATCCTTTATTAAGCGGCCCCCAGGGCCGCTATTTTAAAGCGCCTTTTTCCTAAAGGGGGAAGGCCGGAATATTAAGGCGGTTTCGCGTGACCGATGCGAAT